CACTCTCCAGCAGAAGAAGAAGAAACTTCAAGCTCTGAAGACGATCAACCGGTCATCATTCAACCGGTCATCACGAGGCGCAAGAAAAGCTCCCAGAAACCTGATAAGAACAAACGCAAAAGCTCCAAAACTTCAAAACAAAAGGCAGAGGTCTCCAATGTCGAATCATCAAACAGTCAAGTTAAACTCCAAGTTAACCTTACGCAAGACTCAGACGACGAGAATAGCAAGGTTGCTGGTAAACAAGAAGAAGAAGATGAAGAGGTGGAGGATGATTGATATGATCCTCTCAAGGATTATTTCGAAAATCCAATAGTGGGTCCCAAAGACGTAAGTATCTTGTTTTATTTTGTTATTTCCTCATTCCTCTCTGTATCAATCTTCTGACTCTGTATCATTGCTCTTAGAAACCGGGTGTACGTGGTACCTTTCCTTGCAAGGCTTGCGGTAAAGGGGTTCGTAGTGTTGGTGGGACGTCTAGCCTGTGGGCCCATCGCGACGGTTCCAAGCAGCCTACCAAGACTGGCCGACCAGGATGCAGCAACAGGGACCCTGCAATCGCATCAGGATGCAACCTTCCTCCCACCGTCGCCGAAAAGCGAAAGATGGATTCGAAACCTCCAGCTGGACAAACATCAATCACAGCTTTCACCCATTCCATCCCCAAATTCGACAACAAAACCCTTAACCAGATGTTGGGCATGTGGGTCATTAGGACGGCACAACCATGGCGTCGGATCAAAGACCCCTATCTACGGGCGGCTTTCCAGTATGCCAACCCCAACGCTCACTTGTTTGGTCGAAGGTGGGTTGCCAAGTTTGCTCACGAGGCTTATATGGAGATGCGGTCAGTGGTTTTTGAGGAACTCAAAGTAAGTCTCTTGCATATATGTTTTCATATTCTATCCATTGTATTTTTCTTATTGTCGTTTTTTTCATTTGACCTTAGTCTCTTACCAGCAAATTTGGAATGATCCACAATGTGTGGACAACCAAAGGTAATAGATATGGTTTCATTGGAGCTACAGTGACGTTTATCACCGAAGACTGGAAGTTTGTCACGAGGCATCTGTGTCTGAAGCTTATCGCTTGGCATCACAAGGGGGATTGGCTGGCCGAGCCTCTAATCAACATCCTCACGAAGCATGGAATTCATCATAAGATAAGTAATCTGATGTTTTTTTCATTTCAAATAGGATTTTTAAATATTGTCCTTCCCTTATACTAATTTTCTGTCTGTCCTTTGTTATAGCCACATTTTGGCACAGACTCACGATTCCGGTAGCAATAACAACACCTTGGCCGAAGCAATGCAAGTTCGACTTACTAAGTATAGTCAAGATCGCAATGAAGACTTTGTCTGGGATCACCAGACCGATCGGGTTCGCTGTGTTTGCCATAAGTTGGCTCTGATGGTAAACGCCGGTTTGCAATCACTTGGAATTCAAGCACCCCCGCCACCCCTAGTCAAATCATCAATGTTAGGCGATTTCCCCATTCCGAATACTACGTTGCAATCAATTCCCGAAGAGAACGAGGACAAGGAAGGCGAGGAAGGCACTTCTGACGATTTAGAAGAAGTCGGCTCGGCTGCAGAGGTTGATGATAATGACCTTAAGTCATCTCAAGCCCAAGATACCCCAGGATGGTACAAACTCAAGGACGGGCCTCATCCAGAGCCAGATATCACATCCGAAGACATCGAAACTGCAGCAACTGATCGTAACGAAGCAAACGCGGTGCACAACCTGATGACAAGGTTAGTACAATTTCCTTCCATCCTTCCTATCTTTTTCATTTCAATTTTAACCATCATTGACATTTAATCAAAATAATTATGATAGCTTGATGTCATAGGTCGGAAAATCGGAGGCTCAGCGGTCATGTGTGGCCTATTTGATGCTGTATGTCTAGCAATGCTCAAGAAGAAGCTTCCACGTCCGATTCCTGGGTATGGAATCCGGTGGAACATCAAGCTCCAATGTTGGCGGAGGCTGTACAATGCACGCGAGGTCAGTATTTTTAATAACTTATATTGACCATTATTTGAACATAGGTGATCGATCAGATCCTCAAAGAGGACCAGATGGACCCACCACGTCATGCAAACCAAGCCTGACCTGGAGAAACCCCTCTACCTCCTGACATCCACCGTCCCCGAGGGATTTTCAATAAAGTGATGATTACACCGGACGAATGGCGACAAGTACGAGATCTTATGGAGATCCTTGAGGTGAGTTTCAATTCCTATAGAATTTGAATGTGCACGCCAATTGACTCTATGCTTATGTTGATTCATCTACTTTAGGATTTCGAAAATCTAACCAAGTTCTTTGAACAGGATGGACCAACGGCCTCTCTTGTCATCCGTGAGTATGTAAAACTGAAGAAGCAGATTCAAGCAAAGATCGACAAGACCAAATCTCGCGCCGAGCCACTGTTTCCCATGTACCACGCCATGCTCGTGCGTGTCGAGGCGTATCTCAAGGAAGCTACCTCGTCTAACACACTCAACCTCGCGACAATCTTGCATCCCAGTCTTCGAATGGACTACTTTGAATTCGCTTTTGGCGCTAATTCATCGGAGACGCTTACAGCAAAATACTTGATAGAAGCACAATATGCACGCAAGAAGTTGGAAGTCGAGTCCAGTGTCCCTCATTCATCAAATGCGAAGTCTACAGCCAAAACACCAGGGCATGGTAACAGTCTATTGGCCGAGGATGAAGAGTTTCGCCACCACAAAGAACTTAATCGACGCAACACCGCAAATGAATTGCGATCATACTTGGAGATGGCTGAGGAGCCTTCAGCTGAGGTGGCGGACAATCCTCACCTAGCTTTGGGTTGGTGGAAAGTGAGTATCTTCTACTTAATTTATATTTTTTACCGGTATCATCACGATACAAAATATTGACTTGTTACCTCTTTAACAGGTAAACGAAGGGAAATATCCCATTCTTGCTCGCCTTGCACACGATTATTTGGCAATCAGTGCCACATCGTGCCCAGTCGAAAGAACCTTTTCGTCGGCAGCGGATGTTTGCTCCGCTGACCGCAGTTCACTCTTGCCACGACCAATTGAACCCTTGGTATCTGGACGTATGTGGTCAGTTGAAGGAGTGCAGATGAAAGGCAAGTTTTCATCTGCCAGCGAAGCTATGAGTCAATGTTTGACCAATGACGCGAAAGCTCGTAAGCGACGTGGTTGAGTACATGGCCAGGTGGCTTTTGTTATCCGTTTTCACTTACTTTTCTTAATAGTATTCTTCTCTTCTCCATTCTTAATCTTTCTATAGTTCAATGATGTCCTCTATGTTTCTACTCACTCTCTTTCAAGAATGTTTTCTCTCTGTGGTACTCCAATGCTTCCTTTTATTTCAAAATAGATTTTTTTGTGCGCTTTATCCCAAGGTACTAGCGACGGTACGTGGTAGTACCTGAATCGGTACGGCACTGTACCGTACCGCTCTGCTGCCTCTAGGTACCGGTATAGTACCGTACCTACACCCCTAAATAGCGACGGTACTGGGCTTTGAGCCAATAGTTGTGCCCATCCTTCAGGTACGGTACTCAATACTGTACCTGAAATCAGGCACGGTACCAGATATCGCGGCGCTCGGTACCTCCTTGTCAGGTACGATACCGGTATCCACAGGTACGGCACTAGTACCGTATCTGTGGCTGCGTTGCTGACAGTCAGTGTCAGTGTCAGGGCCTGACAGTCACGGCTCTCCTGGTGGCCGCGACCTCTGATCTCCCGTGCTGATGATCACAAGCGCGCCCTGAGGGTGCCTCAGGCGGGTCGGGCACCGGGGCCCCTGACCATTTCCCTTCAAAAAATCCCACAGTAAGTCACTCTTTTACAATTTTGTCAAATGAAATAATGACTCTTTGAGTGGTTTTTGTGCTTCTTTGTGGCTAAAAACAGCCCCTGGCCCCTAGGCGTCAGATTCAGGGCGTGCCCTGCCTGGCCCTGATCCATTTTGAAAGACCTTCGGGCTTCACCGAGGCCGGCCGGCGCCCCGGAGCCGGCCCTGAAAGTTCTAGGCCGGGTTGCAGCCCTACCCTGAACCAGAATGATACCTGATGGGTAAAAAGTCTGAGTGAAATGATATGAGATGAACTTAGGGGGTGACTATTTGGTTCATGAGATGAATTTCTAAGATTTCTAGCAACTGGTGAAAGTATGCATCAACATTGCTGTTGTTTTTGTTGAACTGAGTGTTTAAAAGTGTGGAGGTTGAAGGCTGAAGCTGATGATGATGTGGCGCAGCTCGTTATGTTTTTTTTTGCAATTGGTTTTTTTTTGTCAACAACCTTGACCATCCGAGATGATGGTTGGCTCAAAAACCCCAAACAGTTTCAAACAACTTGATTCATGTTTTGATCACTCTTGCAAATCGATTTGGCAGTCAACCCAGATTCCAGAATGACAAACTCAATCAAGTCAAGATCAATCATTCCTTTTGAACTGATCAAATGACACTATTCTTGTTGACGCCATTATGGTCATTATTTTATATTAGTCGTCAGATTTGCTTTTTTTAATCATTCAATTGATGTTCATGCTCACGATCACTCAGGAGTAAATCTTGAACAGTTTTTTTGAGCCCCCGAATCTCAAACAGTTGTGTTTGGGTAGCTGCCCTCGTCCCTACATGCTTTGGTTGTAGGGTGAAGATTGAGTGAGGTGAATGTGGTGAAGTGTTTGAAGTGAATGAGTTGAATTGAAGTTCGCAGTGAGAATGAAAGAGATAGAATGTCAATGTAGGGTTATGTAAACTGTATGTAAGTTGAGAATGAGATAGATGATGAATGATCACCTTGCCTGTGAGTCTGACCTGATTGAAGCTGAGCTGAGCTGACCTGAACCCTTCTTCCCACTGTGAACACCGCCTCACTGTTGACCTTTCTTTAAGAACATTCAACTTCATCACTTTACCATTCCTTTCGATATCACTATTACAAACTATATCCAACCTATCAACACACAAACCATGGCTCAATCACCTCTCGATGAACATCATAGTCCAACTTCTGAACAACATCAAAACACAATAGCATTCTCAGATCAACCAGATGAAAAACTCAATTCTTCAACTTCTCATCACAACCTCAAAGATGAGGAGCATGTGATCTCTCCTATCGATTCTTCTCATCAACTTCATAATACTTCATTTCCTCCAAGTTCAATTCAACCAACTAATCAATCAACCTCTAATCTGGATCTCAATAAACCTACTCTCAAACGAAAACAAACTTGGGCTTCTTTACTTAAACCTGAAAAGAAACTGTCGAATCATAATCCTACTTATAAAGAATCTATCAATGCTATCGTTCGGTCTTCTTGTCAGTTCATTTCTTTCATTTTCACTTTTTTACTTGATCATTTCATTCACTAACATTTTTTTTTCCATCTATAGGGCTCAACGTTCTTCTCGTCTTTATTCCCATCTCATGGGCTCTTCATTTTGCTACCCCTAATGCGGACGTTGCGATATTTATCACTTCGATGCTTGCCATCATTCCTTTAGCTAAATTACTTGGTTTTGGTACTGAAGAAATCGCTCTTAGGGTCGGGTCAGACTTTTTCATAATTAGTCTTATTCAGTAATCCAGAAATTGATACCTTCATGTACATTTTTAGTCAAACTCTTGGTGGTCTTCTTAACGCGACTCTTGGAAACGCGGTTCGTATATTGTACAATCTTATGATGAAAACGCATCCTGACCGATTTCTTTAAATCAATTTTTAGGTCGAATTGATTGTTGCCATCCTCGCACTTGTAAAGTGTCAGCTCGTTGTGGTTCAGTCTTCACTCCTTGGTTCAATTCTTAGGTTTGAGGATCCTCTTATGATTCTGTCCGCTGCTTTGGAATGGCTACTAATTCTTGATTTTTTTTCATCACAGTAATCTGCTCCTTGTACTCGGAATGTGTTTCTTTGCCGGGTAACTACATCGCTCTTATATTTTCTTCACATGCTCAAGAAGACTCATTTGCAATATCTTTTAATAGTGGTATCCGATTCTCCGAACAAGCCTTCTCCATCACTGCTGCTCAACTCAATTCCTCACTTCTCATCATGAGCGTCATTGCTATCCTTATTCCTGCTGGATTCCACGCGGCTTTTAGTAACTTGGGTGATAGTGTTGAAGGTCCAGATGTGCTAAAGATGAGCAGAGGAATCGCAGTGATCTTACTCGTCATTTATGGTATGTATTTTACAATTGATCTCATTCAGACCTTTAAAGACACTTTCAAGCAATAAGCGCTCAATTATAACTACTTTTGAACATCTCCTTTTAGGTGCCTATCTTGTCTTTCAACTTTGGACACACCCACATCTCTATTCCGAGACACCCAGTTCATCCGAAACTCCAGATGGACATCCTACCTTTGGAGGTCATCGAATCATGCGACAAGCAAGATCAGTTCGAACTCGTACTCCTCATGTCTCCGTTACACCTGATGAGGCTGGAGAAGGACATGAGGAAGAAGAAGAAGAAGAAGAGGTCCCTACTCTCAATTTTGTTTCGGCTGTCCTTATCTTGGCTCTCTCTACTGTTTTGGTTGGGGTGACCTCTGAGTGGCTTGTGGATAGTATTAATGGTATCACCAAGACTGGTGCGATTTCTGAAGTCAGTATTCTCTCTTTCTCCACATCTCTGCATGTAATAATCGATGTATATCTTTCTAGGCTTGGATTGGGTTAATCTTGCTCCCCATTGTTGGAAATGCTGGTGCGGCTACTTCTTGTCTTTTACTTTTTCTTTTCTTCTATTCCTGGTCACTGAGATATCACTTTGTTTATCTATAGCTGAACATCTTACCGCCGTATCCGTGTCGGTGAAAGATAAACTTGATCTATCGTACGTTTCTGTGGCTCTTGGTCAGTTCTTCAGTCACTTACGATTGATTTGTGTGCAATAGAATGAGTGTTGCAGTAGGATCATCGATCCAGATTGCTTTATTTGTTGTACCGCTGTTGGTGATATTGGCTTGGATACTTGACAAACCGTTGACTTGTAAGTTTTGTATGTCTTGTTTTGTTGCAAACCGACAAATTGGCTAAACCTTTCCGCTCCTTGTTATAGTGCTGTTCGATCCTTTTGGTTAGTATCCTATACACTGCCGTGACATAGCATTTTTGAACACGGGCTGATTGTGACACATTCACCAACTACGAACCTTCCAATCAACAGAGAGTATCACATTATTTCTCGCTGTCTTGGTTGTCAAGTAAGCTATCTTACTTTTTTATTCCCTTCTTCCTTGGATTTATCTCAACTGCTCACATTTTCTTTAACTATTTTTACAGTTATACGTAAGTTTTACAGTGAAACCATTTGAAGAATTCGGATCATTGGCTTATCTTCTTTGAACATTCGTTTGTAGCATTCAAGACGGTAGAGCCAATTGGATTGAAGGATTTATTTTAATGAACGTCTATATCATTGTTGTAAGTATTTTGTTGATGATTCCTCTCTTTACGTTGAATCAAGTTTATTTGGATGACACTTACATGTTAATTTATGTTCAATAGGCCGTAGCATTTTATTTCGTAAGTGATGATCTGGTTCTTTTCTTACAGTATTAAATCAGAAGTTTAAGAAATGATTTTTTTTCTTTTTGTTACAGTATCCTTCAAATACTACAGACGTTAATTTAGGATTGATTTGTAAAACTTGAAGAAAATCAGTGCGGATTTTTTTTTTGCTTTTTCGTTGTGTGATAATATATATCTATCTATCAATCTTTTTAAATTTTTTTTTCAAGGTAGATCATAATTTTATAAGTTGGTTTTTGGATTTATTTTGAATCTTTTTTTTTGGTTTGGTTTATGGATCAATTGACGAACTTGTTATGAAAAAAGAAGTATGTGTGTGTGTTTGGTTTGTGTTGGAAATTTCTCTGTGTCATGTGCGCATGGTTTATGTTTATGAATTTGTGATTTGTTTTTTTTAAAGTTTATTTTTTTAGTAGATTTGAAATCTTTAATTGATCTCGTTTTGGTTTTGTAAAACGTTTTTTTTTGTTGTGTTTGGTTTTGTGATTTTCTGAAAGAGATGTTTTAGAAAGTTTTTGTTAATTTGTCATTTTTTTTGTTTCGTTTTGAATACCTTTTTAATTTTTTTTGATTATTATTGATCTTAATAGCAAAAGAAATGATTTTGTTTAAAGTTTTTTATATATAGATTTGGGGTAAATTAATAAGATTTGGATGACTTATTGGGTTTTTTTGAATGAATGTGGGATGGGTTTGGGTTTGTTTGGTTCAGGAGATAACTTTGGCAAGCATGTGTATGTCATTACCACACAAGACTTGGCAGGTACTTACATAGAGAACTTGTTTTGGCATGTATCAAGTTTCTTCACTTGCTCATTTTGAACATGTAGACAAAAGGATTGTTAATTTGGTGAAAAGATGTACTTGTGTCACAAAGGTTTTGAGGGCTGGTTTCTTTTGAAGGTTTGGTTTGTTTGATTTCATTCAACTTCAGCTTTGGGTCTTTGTTTTCTTGAGAAAAATGGATTGATCCTTATAAGTTTCTTTCTACATATGCAGTTTATTGTCATAGGTTTAAGACCAAAACTCAGTATATGTTACATTGCCATTCAGGTAGGGGACTGTGTGTTGCACCTGTTGCACCCTGGATGTCAAGGATAATGCAAGAGGTGCAAGGGAATCAGGAGCCCTATGCCACTGGGGAAAGCAGAATTAAGTAGGATTTCATTATAAATTTGTTATGACATAGGAATTGGTTTAGGCTCAGGTGGCAAGGGCTGAGGCCTGAATTGTGTTTTCCTCTCAACACAAGGAGAGAGATATCATGAAAAATGCTATAAAAGGAGCTCACTGTGGGTGGTGGCTCAATCTGATGCTGGACAGTCCCACTGGAGTGGAACAGCTGCCTGCTTCTGTAGTGAGAGAAATTGATAACTTTAAGCCCAGAACTTAAGCCAACATCTAAGTAAGAAGAGGGTGGTGGGTAATGCAGCAATCCGGCCCAAAAAAAACGGGTTGCTCCCGGCTTCAGGACCAGGTCAGCCTGATCTCGGTGTGGGCATGAGCAAAACCGGGTCAAACCGGTCTGACCCACATAATGTAGGCACAGGGGAAGTTTGGCCAAATCAGATACTTTATGTTTATTTCAAGCGCCTACAATACATGTTTTTTTGTTTCAAAAGACAACCATATGTGTATATTTGGTTGGAAGTTAGAAGTTTAAATAAAAAAAAACTGGAAATCTGTAAAGATGAAATAGATAGACTCATAGAGGAACCATTGATAATACCTTGTTCAAAGTCTTGGGACATACAAGAGCTTCAAAAGTATCTGGTTTGAGACCATGGCAACGTTTGGTTAAAATACGCCCCCCTGCTGAAAAGGCCCATTCTGAAGGAGTACTACTTGCTGGGACTGAAAGAAAGATTTGAGCCAGGTTTGCAAGAGAGGGATAAGTTAATTCATTACGTTGCCAATAATCCAAAGGTTTACAAGATCCGGGCTTGCAAGGTTCTGCTAGATAACTTATAAGTTCATTGGCCAATGAGCGCTTTTTGGGTGCCAGTAAGAAAGATTGAGGTCCGTCTTCAACAGGCTGATTGATTAGATCTAATGTATCCTCTACAACATCATCATCTAAAATGAATTGGCAAGCCTCCTTTAAGAAGAGGTCTTGCAAATCTGATTGATTGTAAATACTGGCTTGTTGAAGAGTGAGGAAAGCTCCTTGTCCTTGCTTTGAGGTTCAAGTACATGTGCACTGTGAGGGTTGGGTATTCAAAAGGATACTCAATGCTCACTAAAGGTGGTCAGGGTAGTTGGTAATCTTAAATAATTATATGTATATTTCAATATAAGGTAATTGTAATAAGATTATAGGGAAGAAAAGCAGGGCAGGAGAAGAGGACTGGCCTGTTTGGGTAAATCCAGACAGGCTACAGTTAAATGACTCCTGAAGAGGAGATTATAATTATAAGGAATATGAAAGCTGGATCCAGGGCTTTCCTTCAATCTTCAAAATGACTGATTGAAGAGTGAGGTATAGAGTCACTAGTCTGGTTGTTACAAAGTCACCAACTTATCGTTATTCAGAAGGTACACCAACCTGAGAGTTGATATAGGTCACTAACCTACGGTTGTTCAGAAGGTACACCAACCTGTGAGTTGATATAGGTCACTAACCTGTAGTTGTTCAAGAGGTAACGAACCTTGAAGTTAATTGGAAGGTCACTAACCTAGAAATGTTCTACTTAGGGAAAGTAGAGGATCCAGAAAGGGGAAGAAAGAGATTACTTTATCTTTTAGTCAGGAAGCTGCTTTAAAGATATGAAGTGGATCACCAGTCTTATTATTATAAGACTTTTGATTGTGTACTTCAATTGAACTTTAAAGGGTTCTTTAAAAGATGTGTGTAATAAATTGCTTGGGAGATCATCTGAAGGCTGAGAGAGGAGGGGTTTATATAGTCTCCTCTCTAAACCTAACTGTAGTGATATTTGTTATTATCACTACATTGGTTCAGGGCTAATCATTACTATGTGTTAATGATTATTATTAACAGTGTTTGATTACATATACATGTTATATGTAATATGTAATATAAGCATTTTAACTCTTGACACTGAGTTATGAGGTGTACTTGGTGTTTTATTACATATTACATGTTGTTTTAAGTGTACATGTATATGTAATAAGTGTTTTGGTACATTGTACTACATGCTACGTACCGTCTAAGCTCAGTATGTACATGTAATCAATTTTATACATAATGTTTTTAATGTTACAAGTTAGTTTTGGGTACATGTATGTGTACTCAGGGCTGACATGCACAGAGATAGACTGGCTTAGCAATCATGTTGTTAAAATAAGTGACAAGCTTTTTCTTCATTTGAGAAATGGCGAGTTGAATGGAATGGTTTTTGAAAGAATCCAAAGCCTTGAAAAGATACAAGATATTGGCAACATGAAATAAGACCTGAAAATTTGTCATCTCAACTTCACCTTGTCAAGTTGACATTCAAGCCACTCATAAACTGGTAAGACAGCATCAAGACTCGTATAAGTTGATTGAGAAAGCATATTGGTGGCTTTTTCAAAGGGCTTGAGAAATTGAGTAAGGCAGGCAATGATTTCCCACTTGGAAGGGGTGAGAGAAAACTTGGTCATTGAGGAGTCCCTTGAGCATTTAGGATTGATAACATCCTTGAGTTGAAGTGCTCTTTTGAGAGCCATGAGATCCAAATTCCATTGAGTTTTGATGTTTTGGATAAGTCCAAGACGGAAACCAAGTTCAGACTCCACAAGATTCTCAAAAGATTTTCTACAGCTTGGAGTTTTCATCACAGCGGTGATGAATGCCATGAGAAAAGTTAGGGCTCCAGGAGTATCAACCTGATCAAATCCATTGTCTTCAAGTAAATCAGCTAAGTTGACTGAAGATGTCTTGCCAAGGTACTTTGGAAAAAGGTGCCAAACCAGCGCAAGCGACTAAGGTAATGACATGCGCTACACATCTTAGTAAGTGTTGGTCCTTTTTGAAAGCTTCAATCTTGACTGTGACTTCTCGTGCCATCGCTCCATTTGTTGATGCATTATCAGCTGTAATACAATAAATCTTCTGATCAATGTTAAACACCTGTGTGTACTGTAAAGCACCAAGTCTATTGGATGATACTGACACCTGTATCATCCTATGTCATTGGAAAAAGCCCCTTTAGAATTTCTTAGAAAGAAAGTTGATTCTAAGCTGAAATAAATATATTTCTAAGTCCCCTTTCATAAGGGGGGGGCCTTGCCCCCCACACGCATCATACACCTATCTCACTACCCAAACACATATTATTAGAGCACCCACTATGGGGGGAGTGTTTTATCGTAAAGTTTGCGTTCCTGAGCGCGAAGTTTGATCATGCGTGTTTTACCAAAGTTGGTAACCGCGTGAAATCCACTATGGGATGATTTATCGTCTGCTTTCCCTAGTTCCTACAATAAATCAAGTCGTAGGCTTGCGTAAATCTGAACACACGAAGTGCAAGACTTGACGCAGCCGTACGGACCGCAGGTCTAAAACAGGTCCATAGTGGACCTGTTGGTATTTTAGCGTTAGGGTAACGCTAAATCACCGAGTTAACGCAACCATAGTGGGTGCTCTTACTACTCAAGCAACAAAATTACTACCTAAGCCAACAAATCTTACCACTTCAGCCAAAAGTGCCAAAATCTTACCACTTCAAGTCACTTCTCACCACCTCAAATCATATTCTTACTACTCATAAGGGGGGGCCTTGCCCCCCACACGCATCATACACCTATCTCACTACCCAAACACATATTATTACTACTCAAGCAACAGAATTACTACCTAAGCCAACAAATCTTACCACTTTAGCCAAAAGAGCCAAAATCTTACCACTTCAAGTCACTTCTCACCACCTCAAATCATATTCTTACTACCCAAGTCAACATCTTACCACTGTAGTAAAAATCTCACTACTTACGCAACGTATCTTACTAGTAAACTCAAAATATCACTACTTCATCCGGCATCTTACTACCCAAGTCAATACTCTTACTCTACTACATATCAAAATCTATAACCTAGATCAATACAACAACCTAACAAAGATCATATCACTCTAAGCTCTTACTCAGAGCAATCACCCCAACAACGACCCTATCACCACTTTTTATCCCTTACCTCATTGCCATTTATAAGCCATCATCTTAAGGACCTCAGCGATTGCAGTGCAAAGTCTTCCAAGGTCTCACCCGTGTAAAGCCAATCCTAATACCCCCTTTTCCCAACTTCCCAGTCCAATCTCGATCCTAGCGTTCTCTCCCGTATCGAATTTCTTTATCTTAACTAATATGACCTTTCATCCAATCATCCCCATCCAGCACACCATCCACAAAGATGTGATCCGGCCGTGCCCAAAAGGAGAAAACTTCACGACCACCACCTCGCCCATCTGAGATCCGAGCCTTGCCGACTCCCACCACCACCGTAAAGCAACAACGACTCGCTAGACGTCTGACTCAACCAGCCGAAGCGAAGCGCACCAACAAGCGAGCACGCTACGAAGACGACGAAGATTTTGAAGCAGATGACGACGAAGCTCATGATAGTGAAATAATTCACGCCGCACACGAACCCACCGATACCAAATCCGAGCTAACCCCCAACCTCTCAAACTATCGTGAATTGGGCAATGAATGGGGATTAGCGCGTGCTGAAAAGTACCTCGGCAACCTCAAACTCCCCAAAAACAACCGGTTGTCAGGCAACGGCCTGTTCGAGGCACAATCCCTTCAAGCAGCATACAAGACACACAAAACAATGCTCTGCATTGCCTTGAAGGTCAGCAGAAGAGTGCTCGATGAAGCTCTGTAAGTATGCTATTTCGTCCTATTATCCTGCGATGCTTTTTCAAGAAACTGATCCTACTCTTCATACCTCACCAGATTAGAAGGACCGTTAGCGCGCGAACCAAACATGTATAACAACTATCAAACTTACAGTAAAGTAGCCACTTCAACTAAAAGTAAGAGAAGACAAGATATCATTTGATGTACGGATGACAAAGCTAACATTCATTCCCTAACCAATGTAGTGCCACCCAAGGGTGTTTCCCAGGGCTTTCGTGAACGCAATGAGATCGTAGGTTCAACGTGGTCAACATATGTCGATGAAGAGCAGGAAGTCTTCACTCCCCGGCTCTTTGAGCGCCTCTGCGTAGCGACCAGTGAGGCCTATGCACTTACCAAAACACCGCTTGGGATCCCTTCATCTGTTGCTGTTCAAGAAGCACCTACCAATGCCTGCACTTCTGGTCTTGAACCGCTTACCCCGGAAGAACTGGAAACATATGTACCTGTTTTCGAACGCTTAGTTGATAAGCAGAAAGTATCACGAGACCTCCACCAGGGACAACTCTGGAGACACAGTAGCAAAACAACCAACCGGACAACCGAGCACCTAATGAAGCTTGAAATCAGTAGGGTGGTACGTCAGGTAAGTTATTCATACTTCTCTGCTAACTTTCACATACTAACATACTAACCTTGTTTCGTCCTTCCAGCTAAACGTACTAATGCATCATTTCAACTTACAATTTCACTTGATTATTGCGTGCTGGAACCCGGCTACCTCCACCGCGCGTGCGCTCTTCCAGGAGGAACATACCTCATGTGAGCGATGGGTTGCCCTACAGCAGAAAAAACACCTTCTGGAGTACTTCACCTTTGAATCTACCAAGGCCCCTCGACATCTCCGCGCGCAGCCTAAAGAACCCAAGCCGCAAACAGAATCTGCCGCCCGACAAACCGCAAAGCGATCCGAGCTAGCAAAGTCCCTCAACGATCTGATCGGTAAGTTTCTGCTTCTGCATGCTTTTGCACTACTCCCAACGTTGCTGATCATACTGTTGAGATGCAGTTCCATACCTTCGAGGGGGGCCTCAGGGCAGAGGTGATGCCCACCCCAAGTGTTTGAACTTGGGTGAAGCATTTAAAAAGAAGACTTACCGAGGAGATGTGGCTCTCACATTCAACCGTACCTCCAACAGCCAGGTAACAGACGAGATGATATCCAAGGGGCCCAGCTCTCTCACCAACGATGAAGTTGATGCGTGGCTTGAAGATATCAAAAACAAACGATACACTAATAGGGGGTTTCAAGTTGAATTTTTTTGCGTATTTTTACGCTACAACAACTTGCCCGTTGTTGTAAAATATGCGTAATTTTTTTACAGCGGGACACCTTTTTAGGTGTCCCGAATTAAAATTACGTTGTTTTACAAAGATTTTTTTTACGAACAACTTGTCCGAATTTTTAAAAATTACACATAAAAAAATTGAACTTGAAACCCCCTATTATTAAGCTCGAGAAGACCAAGACCTCAAAGACCAAGAAACGCAACAACAAACATACATTAACTGCTGAAGAAGCAGCGCTAGACAATGAGCCGATAACCACCAAAGATGGCAAAGCCGACAAGTGCGACTCCAGTTTGGCATTTCTGGACCCGCAAATCCTAGAAGAAGAGACCAGAACCGCTGGCAATGAGTAGATGATATCACTTTGCCTTGATTATACGGTTTGTGTCTAGATTTCAGTAAGTAAGAAGCAGCTAATCTCACTTGCTCTTGCTAGCCGTTTGACGTGAACGTAACCAGTACCCGCTGATACTTCTCATGTTTTCATAAGATTAAATCGGCTACTTCCAACAGTTTTCTCCCTTACCTCCTTGCAAAAAACGCTCTTCTTGCAAATCCCTTGGTTTTGGAAATTTAAATCCTGCCTTCAATCCGAAAATGTCATTAAATGTTTCATTAATCACTTTTTAGTTGAAATAATTTGCCAATTATTCCTACCGATCCGTGATGTTAAAACCTGGAGAGTTGTAATAAATTCCCCTCCTTTGTTTAAATTTTTAATTTACTCTATTTTGCTATTTTGGTGTTGAAAGAAATCTGCCAACATTTGAATTTGCACACAACAAAAACATGCAATCAGTGCAGTGGTGTCAGATTAGAGCTTAGATGCTGGAGTTCCAAAAACATAAGGGGGTGTGATATGGGTTGACAAACGATCCTTAGTCATGTGACAGTGTACTCATGTGTAATTGTACTGATTCCGTTATGTACACTGACAGTGACACCGACCGCCGGTACTTTAAAAGTATAGCTTACATGTCACAGTTGATTGACGCATGGGGTTGAGCCTTAATATGCATGGTTTTAAGCTCTGACACATAACACGATCTTAAGGACATCTACCTGAGTTGATATTTATTCTCGATCTTTTCAAATCAAGTTGAAAAATTCTGACCCGACCAAATATCGTTCTCAACGAGTCCCCACCAAGCTCACAGCTGGAACACCTCCATATCCTATCTCAAACTTTCAATTACATATGATCGATCTCCAACAACGCCTTCCCGTTTCCGTTTGTCAGGTCGATATTTCAAATTTATTTCACTTTTATTCTCTTATCTTTCACTTCCCCTCTACCTCAAGTAGCGACCTCTTAGCATGATGGAGTGGGTTTGCGCAGGTTGTCATCGATAGCCTCTGTCAAACTTGAAGTACAACCTGCAACCCCATCAACCCACTCCTTGCTTGCATGGTCCTGCTTCCAGAAGTGTTTCCAAAGCCGTAGCTGAGAAAACGAACGAATTCATTTGTGACCCCCCTTTTGCTCCCACTCTTCTTAGTCGACACCATACAATGACGACCGACTTGGCCCCCGGATGGACTACGCATAAGAGGAGCACATTCGATAGTCGCAAAGGGTACTATTTTGACATACCAAGTGGGACTTTAGTTGAGATTGCGACTAATCTCGTCATGCACCTGAACGTAAACAGGGATTCTAACGCCAAAGGTGACGACCCCCACTTACCTGGTGTTACCTATCTATCGGACCTAGCAAGCGTAATAGACTCGAAGAGGCAAACGGGATATACTGATGATGATGTAAGTACCCAACCGTTTGTAGGTAGTCCAAGTGAAAAAACCTAATACCTCTTAGCTCTTACCAATCTCACAGCTTCCGAAGCCGTTTGCCTCGCCTAAGTCGTACGCACATGTACCACATGAGTACCTGGCACCCGATGGATTCCCGAGAACCGATTGTTGGCTTAATCCTTCCTGCAGATTTGCTGTACTTACCAACACAGATCAGAATGCAGGCAAAGGTGCAGTAGTGTATGTCTCATTCATGATTGGGGCAATATTTTACCACTCACAATTCTAAATACCTGCTGAATTCTTTTTTCAGGCGAAGAGCACTGGATGAATATCGCAAACAGGGCGTGGAAGGAGTGCCTGCTAACCCTCCTCTACAAACTGCAAAAATCAGGCGAAGACAAGGACCGTATGTAAAATGCTTCCTTGATTTCTATTCACCGTTTCCAGATGATTAACATTTACTTTTGGTCCGCTTTCCTATAGGCGACATGCAAAACCCGGTCGGAAAATCATGGCTGCAAAAGCTACCGACCAGTCTGCTACCTCAGCTAACCGTTTAAACAAGACGTACGATTGCCACCGCTACCGGCTCAATGACCCACTTCTACCTTACGAAGACTACGACCGAACCATGGACATAATTTTCAACTGCTACAAAATCGTAACCCATGGAAAAGGCCAATTTGTGGATAGGGATTCACACGAATTATTATTCACCTACTCCTTTGAAGATTTGGAAGCAATGACACCGGAAAAGCGCCAGGAGCATCAAGACGATGTCTCTACCGTTCTAATGTCGACTAAGCTTTTCAAGAGGTTACCAACTCCTAAACCCCTGGCTCCTCCAATTTTTAGTAGTTCACCTTTGCTGATTAACCCGATTCCAGCCAGTGAGTTATTCATCATATGGAACAACCCCTGCTCAAAACTGTGACTCAATGATGTTATTGATTTTAGCAACCTCTGCGATGGATACAGACCGTACCAACCTACGACTGCCTGATGATACCAATCTGCCATCTTCTCCTCTAAGTTCCCTGCCACCTTCGGATGCCGATATGGATAGAGACAATACCAGCCTACAAATGCCTGACGATCCCGATCCCCCATCTTCTCCTCTAACTTCCCTGCCACCTTCGGATGCCGAAGTAAATGAAGATGATCTGAATCACGCTCAGAACAGTTTTCTCAGTAATGCTGTTTTGGATATATCACATAATCACCTTTGCTCTTCGTCTCCTCTAACTTCCCTTCCTCCTTCTGATCGTGAAGACAATGTAACGACCATCCCCAGGAAGCGTAAGCGTAGTGACAGACATAATGGCGTAATATCTAAGAAGTTACCTGTAGAAGAAAAGTTTAGATATGCTGGCTTGAATAGAACAAAGCGTAAGCGAACTATTACCAAGCCAACTATTACGAAGAAAGTTACATTTGGGAAAATTGCTCCGACCTTGAAGAAGCAAAAGCGAAACATAACAACTAACGGCGCTCTAATTCATGGGAGAATGTATTGTTTTGGCCAAACAGTTGGATATTCTCGTAACATCCTCCTGGGACCCTACCGCCCCAACAAAGCCTCATCTCGATCGTTATACCGAACCTTCTTAGACAAACTAGCCGGCTTCGGCGCACGTCTTGGCGGTAGATTCAAAGACTTTTGCGATGTAGGTTTTCAGGTAGCTCGCCAGCAACTCAACACACTTCGAGCCCCTCCAATGACAGCGACCTCGAAGTTTCAACCATCAGGGCCGCACGACTTCGCCTCCAACTTCGCATTTACCCTGGGTAATTTTTATAACAAGCCTCATACCGACAACGACAAGGGCAAGGTTTACTGTATATGGTACCCGATAGATAGTCTAAGTGGTAAGATTGTCACAGAATGTGAGGGCTTTGAACTTGAAGGCGGGTGGTTTATCTTCCCAGAATACCGAGTGGCCTTCAAATTTGGTGGTAAGTTTGCAGTTCAAATTGCATGGAACGGCAAATCCACTTTCCACCATACTCTACCTTCTCATGAAAAAATTGCATTGAACAAGCAAGGCAAGAAAGTACATTACACACGCCTTGGTTGTTCATCCCAAATCACTTACAAGATGGCCAGAGCCAGTGTAAAGATTGGAACAGACAAACAGTACAATCATACTTCCAACTGCGAGCGCAAGTTAATGGATGCGGAGGACATTTTGGAAATGCCGGATAGAAATTGGAAGGAATGAGACGGGAGGAACACTTGTTAGAATGAATATTTCAATATTATAGCTCTTTTCGTTTTAATGATTTTTTATCTTTCACTCTTGCCAATATGCTAAATATGATCACTGTGCAACCATACATTTGATGTCTGAGTACAAGCTTAGTATCCTGTTAGAATAAATATTTCAACATTATAGCTCTTTTCCTTTTGACGATTTTTTATCTTTCACTCTTGCCAATATGCTAAATATGATAACTGTGCAACTATACATTTGATGTCTGAGTACAAGCTTAGTATCCTTCCAACACAACAAAAGAGCTTTCCAAGCTCTTTTGCACGCATGATTGGTGAGTTGCGGTAGCAACTGCCACATGAGAGTATCAGACTCCTCGTTTGTATAATATGAACTGTGGATCCTTATAACTATAAGGATTGTCAAGTAATTTTACTTATTGGTGAGTTGCGGTAGCAACTGCCACATGAGAGTATCAGACTGCTCGTTTGTATAATATAAACTGTGGATCCTTATAACTATAAGGATTGTCAAGTAATTTTACTTGACAACTCCTGCATTTATAATTTCAATTATGGATATATCTTGGGTTAATATGTAAACAATCATATTTTCATTTCTTATTCATATGCCTTCTATACTGTTATATTATCTCATATCTTTGTTATTTATGAGCATTGTGTCCTTCTTGATTTTAATTCTTATCCCTTCTGATTGTCAAGTATTTTTCCTTGACAACTTATGCATTTATAATTTCAATTGTGGATATATCTTTGGGTTACTTCGACCCAAGATATATCCATCACCTAGATGTATATACATTATGTCTACAGTTTTTACAATTATAACTAAGGCTATGGCATAGAAAATATGTAAACAATCATATTTTCCTTTCTTATTCATATGCCTTCTATACCCTTATAATATCTCATATCTTTGTATAACAATTGTGTCCTTCTGGATTTTAATTCATATCCCTTCTATACCCTGATATTATCTCATTTTGTTATACAAATTGTGTCCTTCTTGATTTTCACTCATATCCCTTCTATACCTATTATCTCATATCTTTGGTATAAAAAATGTGTCCTTCTTGATGTTGATTCATATCCCTTCTATACCAATCTCATATCTTTGTTATAAAAAATGTGACCTTCTGGATTTTAATTATTATTATTGTGTCCTGCTTGATTTTATTTCATATCCCTTCTATACCAAGATATTATCTCATATCTTTGTTATAAAAATTGTGTCCTTCTTGATTTTATTTATTATTACTTTGATAGTAATGAAATGAAGTCTTTGGCAAAGTTTCGTAAAGGTTTACTAATAGGGAGAATATCAACCTATTTTATGGTGCGGACACTTGGAAGAGTGACATATTGTAATATCTAGCAAAAGAATAATTGAAGGCATGTTGGTATTATTAGAGGCGCGCGTGGCAATAATAGATATCAAGGACACTGTCAAGGGAAAGAAATCCTAGTGGCCAATAACTGTTGGATGCTTTTCAAGTTTAGATAAGCTTCTTATCTATCACACGGATTTGTTTTGAGACTCTTATCACTTTGAGTATAATATGTCTTACTCCAAAGATCCAATATTATGATGATCAGTTCATATCACAAATATACAAATATACAAGTCATGAAGGCAGTAACCAGAGTATAGATGGTATAGATGGTGCTTGCTGTGGCTTGCACACACAGGAAGCAGCTTTTCAAGCACATTGCACTTACGATGGCTGGGTGTTCGCCTTGCGTGGACTCGGCCTTTCTTGACTTATCAAGGACGATGCACACTGACTGCCGCTGAGGGCCTCTGCGAAAGTCCTCACTTCTTTTACGTGCCGATGTACGCAGTACTCTGTTGGTGCTCGTCATTAGGTTTGTCATACTCAAAGTGTCAATGAATATTGACTAGCAAGATATCAGTTATTTACAAATATGTCACCCTTGTTGTTCCATGACTCAGACTCACATAGTAGGTATCTAAGATGGTAATTCAATTGATTCTCGATCAAATGGATATCTTTGTGCAACACACTTGCACTTTCAATGTTTGATATCAACATTAATAAGGAACCATATCATTTACATGAAGTATCAAATACCTTGTTATACAACAAACGCAACCATTATAAGTTCACTGATGGTAAGAAATCCGGAGGAGTTTTTGGTTGTAGATCTTTTCATTTATCATAACATGTGTCCAATGTAATAAACTAGACAAGACAAGAATGAAGAACTGATACTTTGAGTATAATATGTCTTACTCCAAAGATCCAATATTATGATGATCAGTTCATATCACAAATATACAAATATACAAGTCATGAAGGCAGTATAGTTGACCCAGGTCACCATCAATAAGAAAAGACATCCTCTAAAACAAAGTGCAATAAGACAAGACAACAAATATACAAGTCATGAAGGCAGTATAGTGGACTTATTGCACTTTGTTTCAAAAGACATCCTCTAAAACAAAGTGCAATAAGACAAGACATCATGTATGAAATAGTATGCAATACCTTGTTAAGCAACAGACGCAACCATCATGTGTGGCCATTTTGAGGGCTGGATGCTCGAGGATTCAAGTAATAAAACTTGAACCTTGTCAAATGGTTGAGAATTCAAGTAATGATACTTGAACCTTGTAAAATGAGTTGACTTGTTAGGGATTTGTTCAAACATTTGTTATCGTATGAATATCTGCTTGTTAAATTTTTCTGGCAAGCCATATATATATAGAGTACACACACATCGCATATTGCATAACTATATATACGAAGGCCCAAATACAAAGGCCCAAGCATGCCTGATCATTCAATCAAATAGGCGAATTTACTATTTTGCGACGTACCATATAATTGTATACGTAACAGGCGTGAAATACCAGACGCAGTGTCATCGCATAACTATATATAGGAATTCCCAATAATGCCTGATCATTCAAACAAAGAGTACGTTGCGACAATTCCATTTCTTGATGTACCATTGAATTGCATACGTACCAGGCTTGAAATACCAGAGGGAGTGTCACGCATGAGCCTTTATATTGGAAGCATTAGAGCACGCAATACTCACCATAAACAAATGAGGAGGTTTAAAGCATGAACATTTACATTTTGTTCATGCATTAAAGGGAGCAACATATAAACAAAAGATTTAAAGCGAGCAATATATATACAAAAGCAGCTAGATTATATGTTCAAAGTAGAGCATCTCCCACTCGATATGTCGAT